TGCAGTCCTTGTATAATTTCAAAATACATATATATATAAGTATATTTTTCAAAATGTTGACATTTCAAATAATTTTTTCCTTTGTTCTCTTTTTCTTAGTGTAAAATGTATCCCGGTAAATTTGCTCTAAATAATTTTATAATGCACTAACATTACTGAACAATAATACAAATTTTTCAACTTGTTCACTTCTTAATCGATCTTTTCTTTAGGAAAACCGGAATCAAAATTTGTCCGCAGGCCCAATTCATGCCATGGTTTTTTATGGCGTTCTAGTTGTAATGCATTGGTGGGCGGAGACGTTCTGTGATGTTTATAAGCGGGTGCTGTGCTTCGGACAGCCTTGGGGAATATCTCACGCAGTTTAGAGCCTCAGAAGCTATGGGCTTCGCATGAGAAATCCGAGGTCGGTTACAAAATACAGTGGCGGTGTAATTGAATGTCAGAGCAGTGAGCCTTCCTCAGCTTATACGCGACGCTTGTGGCCGTGCTGCTAGTCGCGTTCTGAGGCTATAAACCTGCCGCATTTCTTGCATACGGGCGTACGGTGAATCAATTCGCGGATATTGCGCGATGCTTGTCTGGTCTTGCTGCTTTGTAGGCATGAATTTTAACATAAAAATATTAAAATGAATTTATCTCATAATACACGATATTTGGTTACTTTGACTCTTTCCTTGAAGATATTCACATCACAATATATGTCTTCTCAATCATGATAAACTTGGATGCCATTGTATATCATAGCGCGGTTGACTCTAAGGATATAGTGTAGAAGTGAAAGTTATTGGCATTAATGTATACATAATTTTTGGGACGTTATCAGGCAGTGTGCTCATTTGAAAACTCTCATTAAGTAATGCAGCAGATTAATATGCATGCAAGAAACATTACGATGTGCAGATTGTTTTTCTAAAACTGAGAGCATAGTTATTATAAACTTAATAATTTGGAAATCTTAAATTTACCTTAATTGGGGAATAAAATTTAACACGCATTAATATGTTGGCGTAGGCATATTATTAAACGAATATGCATTGAGACCGTACTATACTTTATTTTGCTTGAAATTTTTGTAACGCATTATCTTTTACTATAACTTGCAGTGTTAAAAGGCGTAGAAATATTTAACCAAAATTACCGAGGTACAGTAGACCCCAATTTATAAACTTCAATACACAAAAACAATTTTTGTCATGAACTGAGGGATCGAAAATTAGGAATTATGAGATACAGGGGTTATTAATTTCCCTATAAACATCGTTCATTTTTCTAGTTCACCTCTACGTCAAAGTTAAAGTGACACGTTATACTTCATCTTGAAGTTTCAGTGCTGAATTAGTTTGTTCATAAACTTGACTGCTTCGACGGCGATTTCATTTAATCACTAAAATAAATATTTCAATAGATATTACTTCAAAAATAAATTCTACTTAGAATTTAAGTTGATGACACCCTCTCTCCTTTCAGGCTTATTGTATTAATTAGAAGGCGCAGTAAAATAGAAGCCTGATTTTCTCCGAGCACATTTTTTCACGGAATAGAAAGGAACTATTTTTGTGTAGCGCTATTGAAGTAATTTGCCTGCATTATATTATAGGGTCGTCAAAGGCAGACGCCTCTAAAAGTTAGCTGGTCGATGCCTTGCAAAAAACACCCTTATTCTTACCTGGCGATGAACTGTCGGAGATTAGGTTCAGCGCGGAAGAATAGTTTTAGTGACAACAAATTTTCGCTGAAATTTAACATTTTACAAAGTCTTTGACGCAGTTTTCAATAGATTGCTTTGAAGAACTGAAGAAAGCAAATTAATTAAATAAAAGTGTCATTTAGAAGCAGAAGACGCCTGATGAGGTTTAATTGAATGTATGTAAAAGGGGCAATGAGCCTAACAATTTTTCCGTTGCTAGAAAAGAAAGTTTACATGCACTTAATTATGAAGAATCGACGGACTTGAGAATATTTGCTCGCAATAACCGAGTTTTTCAGAATAAACATTACCTCATAATGGTGTGTGCTTGCCATAATACGTAATCGGAGTTATCAAGCCGCGGTCGGGACTTTGCTGTGCAATGGACGAGCAAAACACGAGATCGATATCGGAAATAGACATTGCCGATAAAGCTGTTCCCATTCTTGGCAGCTATGAAGAGATTTCCCGATAGCGGTAAGACTTCTGTCGGTCGGCATCATATACACAAAAGTTGCAGCGGAACCCGAGACCTGGCACAAATCCTACGGAGAACGAGAAGAATTATTCGTTGTTCACGTGGCATTGGATCTCAATGAGTGGAATATTAGACTTTAGAGATATCCAACTAAATTGGTAATCAGTCAGACAAATATGAGTAGTTATTACAAATTAGAAATTTATTTGTGATTTTTGAAATTCGCTAACGTGATATTCCAAAGCAGTCTTTTTGTTCTACGTTATTTAAGTTAGATAAAAGTGGACTATCCATAAATCTCCTAAACTTTGTTCAAAAACTTCTATTAAAATTTATTTTTTATTGCACAATTTTCACCGTCAAATTTTTTGGCATTTGCGATGAATTTTTTCTATTGAATCTTTATGAACACAACTGAAAATATTTTTCATTTGTGTTCCGATGCTATTTCACAGCAAGTGGTTAATCGAGGTATCACTTCTTAATAACAATATTATTATATATCATCTCCTGAATAAAGAATGATTTGAATTAAATAAGTTCGCTCATCATCAGCTAACACAAATTGATTATTTATGTTAGGCAACGATACATTGTTTACTATTTCATCAAGGTAATAGGTGCTGGGTCGAGAATTTGTATTCGTGTTGCCCTGCGTCTCGTCGACGTCTCGGACAAATTTACGGCCGGTCTCGCGGCCGCCGGACTCCAAACATAGAAAAAACCTAGCCAATCAAAGAGAACCTCGCAGGTTAGGTCCAGTTCGGAACAGGTTCCATTAAAAACATAAAAACCTTGAAAAACCCATAAAACAGTAAGAAAACCTTTCCGGCCGCGAGACCGGCCGCGGGTCCAGCCGTAAATTTGTCCGAGACCTGTCTCGTCGCGCCTCCTTAGCATTTGATCTGACGCTCAGGAAGTTGATCTTCAGCTGGCAATTATATGCACATCCCTCACCGTGTCCAATGAAGCTTCCTCATCACCAGCACTTCATGTGCTGCTCCTGCCGAGCCAACGCGTCGCATACACAGCGATGCTGTTGGGCCGAGTCAATGAAGCCGGGCTGATTTATGCAAGCTACTGGGACCGGGGGATGAAGGATGCAGGTGATAAGCCTGGAGGATTCAGCAAGCTATACGGCACTTACAGAGGAAACAGTTACTGAATCTTTGGTTGTTTAAGTAAGCAAAAGGGACGGGGTGATAAAGGATGCAGGTGATAAGCCTGGATGATTCAGCAATCTAAAAGGCGATTACAGAGGAAACAGAGTTCTGGAATCGTTGGTTATTTGAGCAAGCAGCAAGGACGGGGTGATAGAGAACTCAAGCGATAGGTCTTATCGATTCAGCAAGCTATAAGATGATTTATCGAGGAAACAGAGTTCTGGAATTTTTAATTATTTAAGTTAGTAATAATTGACGGGATGATTAACGCAATCGATAAACCAGGGTGATTCAACAAGCTTGCAGTGGCTCGTAGAGTAAGAACGGAGTCACTAAACCTGAAATAATTTCGGCAATTAATGGGACGGATCAAATGAAGTCGAAGTCGGTGAACCCGCGGTGATTCAGGGTCATCTCGAATGCCAAAATATTTCTCCCCAAAGACATAAAAAATATAACTCAGTACTCACTGCAGTGAGTGACAGAGAGCGCATTTTCTCGTCGACGAAAACGTGAAGCCACGGACGGACGGACGGACTGACGGACAGACAGACGGACAGACGGACGGACAGACAGACGGACATGACGAGCACACTAGTGCATTTTTTCCATAAATAAGAAAATGCGCTAAAAACAACAATATTCCTCAAGTGTGTCACTGTTTTCAGTGACCTACGTCATTTTGGAAACAATTTTTTCTGTTTTATTGTGTGGACGTGGTTTTTGCATATTCTTTTGCGTTACGAAATCTAACAAACGATTTTTACTTGAACTCAAAGGGAATTCACTGTCAACATGTATGTATTTCAGGAAATTTCGACTTCAAGTGCAATATCTATTATGAATAGTGCATTAATGATGGCAAAAGACAGAAATCGGTTCTAATAAAAACGAAACAATAAAGGGGAAAGAATTTTATAGTTTGCTGAATAATACTCTGGTTATGTTCAGATAAATGAAATGTAGAGGAATATTGGTGGCACGTGGCCGCGTTTTTATTTAATTATCATTCGCTGTTGTTCAAAGTAATCTTATTTGCATGGCGAGGGGTCGGAATATTAGAAGAAAATATTTTAGGAATTTTAGGCGTGATGATACAATTACATGCAGACAGGAATACTATTCATGATGAAAGAATGATCATAAATTGTGCTAATTAATTTACATTTCCGAGAAGTTTTTTTATTGTACAGCATTATCACGCTTTCCTATGCCTCGGAGTTTATTTAAAGATATGAATGGTAAGATTTTTCGGCTTTAATTTATATTGAAGTTGATAGTTTATAGCTTAGAGTATAAATAAATCACGTTTATTAATTTTTTATGGTTAAATTTAATTCAGGCTATGGATTAATTTTAACGGACGCGAGTGCGCTATTTTAATTGCCGGAGAAGAACAACGCTGCTTCTACCACGTTTCAAAAATGTCGATCAAAAATTTATCGTTTCGATATAATTTTTAAGCACACATTGAATTAAATTTTCACTGCGCGATAGTGTAACAATTCCCACATGAAGACCAATTGGTAAATAAACATAAATTCATTTGTATGTGTAGGCGGGTTAATATATTCGTTCAATCAATGCCTGATGTGTGGTCATCAAGCTTGCAAGTGTCATTTATTTATATGTCCAGCGAGAAAGTAATTCTGAATGCCTCAATTTTTTCTCAGGAAGGCGGAGACAAAATGTCCAGTTTACGGAACCATAGGACGCGCTGGGATTTCTGAAAGGATTGTTGTTGCTGGAAGAGCTCGAGCGCTGCATCGGAATTCTGTAGTGAGGAGATCAATGTGAAGACAGTAGCTCATCTGAGTGAAAGGATCGGCAGAAACCTTTGTTTGGACTGCCATTCTTTTATGATGCCTTGTTGCTTCAGACTATCAAAAGTCATGTATGTTTCTGGAGATTCTTGCTCGCGTCTATCGATCTGGGTTCTTGTTCTCTGGAGTTTAGTACGAAAATGAGTCGTGCTTTTTGTGACCAAGAAACTGTGCCTGTGGGTTTCGGTTTGGTTTAGAACTCATTCCATATTAGACTTTCTTCTGTGTTCACTATGATAAAGCAATAGGGCAACATGGGGCAGCGCGCCCTCCCCCTTTTTTAAACTAAATTTTTGATGAACTTTTAATTGATACGAGGTGGTTCTTTGTTTTGTTTAAAGGTACAACTAATGAGGAATGTATGATGTGAATTAGACGCCTATATGTTCATTCAATTTTTAATGAAACACTGTTTTGTAAAAAGTGTCAAAATGGGCCCATTGCCCCACCCCTGGGTGGCGGTAGAGAACACGGACCAATATCTGCCATACTTAGCGAGAAACCCGCTATGGGCCCGTGACCCGCAGTGGGCTCGCTGCCCCATGTTACCCTAATTGTAAATTTTGTTCAAAAGCAAAAATAATTTGATCATAGGTATAGACTATGTGCACTCAACATTTTTTTTTCATTTGATGTATGGACAATGTCTACAATAGCTGAAGCTGTTGCCAGTGCACTTCGTTTCTTTTCAGTCTTGAATTTAACAGCATTTTATGAGAATTTAGTGTACACGAATTTGATCCTTCAATAATTGTCGTAGAGCAATAATCCTATAAAAACAGAAAAAATAAAACACAACACCTAAAGAAAACACAAGGCTTCATTTAGTTCGTAGTTATCAGGCAATACTTTAGAAGAAATATTTTAGCCTTTTAAAATAAATTGGGTATTCTCACCGGAGAGCTCTCACGGGCACCGCGCTGTCACACCTTTAGCTTGCCTTGAGTAAAAAATACGACTTTCAACAAATCCAGACTGGGTCTACTTCTACGAAGGAATTTCCCAGTAATACGTTTTAGAACGCGTTCTTCTAGAATACTGAGGCAGCACAATTTGTTTTACACGACTTTAACACATATATTAAAGAATAAATATATTTGTATGAATTATTAGTATCATATCAAGTTATTTTACAGTACTCGGCAATAAGTGCCCATTCTTGTTTGTAAATCCCCTTAAAAATCTTAATAATTAAAGTAATATTCTCCAGAGTGGGTAAAAATGATACACAGAACTTGAGGACATCTCTATTTCTTTATTCTGAAATGTTCTTGCCTGAGATCAATTAACGAAGGAGGAATAATACAGTGAACTGATTATATTATTAATAAAAAAATCGTACAAAAATGGTAGGTTCTATTTAAACAATAATTATCCTCAGTAATTTTACATCTTCATGAGTGTATGTAAGTAGATAAGACAACTCTTAGGAGATAAGACTCAATTTAAATAATATAATATAGGTTTATTCCATTAATTAAAAAAAGCTTAATCAATTAATTGGTTGGAAGCTTCATTAAAAGTTGAATTGACTGATCGATTAATAATATTAACAACGATGTTCATAAATGATACATTATTTCACTTAATTTCTATAACAGACAAGGTCGAAACATTCACCTCTCATTACTGACTATACAGTTTGTTATTCTTTCGTTAAATGCATACATAAAATGCATAAATATAGTTTCTCAACCTTATTCAATTAATAATAATTCGCACCAAAAAATGGAACACACATATCGAGGCTTCGTATTACTTTCAAGCGGAAAATGTAATAAAAACAATGAGGTTGATCTTTACGGTACGGTGTCCAACTTAATATTTAACAAAATATTTTTATTAATTTCACTGTGCACCTTCAAACGGCAGTTCTCAGAGCCCAGTGAAAGGCCTTTGCCAAATCTGGATTGGAAAACAAAGGCAAATTCGAACTACTACAATCTATTGTTTTATCTGACCTGGAACGCGCATTTTGTGTGGCACGTAAATTTGTTCCACAGTTCAGTCAGAGCAAAAAGACCTAAAAATTCGAGCCGAAAGTGGTAAAAATCAAACAGTTAATTCTTTATCTTTCAAACAAAGTCTAGATACCTGGTCCAGCAATAAATGATTTTTATCATCGTGTAAATATTGGTTCCTAAATCTGCAAGCGTGTTTTTTCTAAATCAATTCGGAATACGATTATATTTGCAGTTAAAACCTGTGCCAAAAAATTCTAATCACCGATACGCAAGAAAGCCCGAAAAACTTCCCATCCAAAGGAGATTTGGATCAGTTGCGATGTTGCCATAATACGCTGGTGTGTTTTTTGAAGAGGCAGATCCAGAAAGCGTTCACGTTACCGACGCTAAATCTAAAACAACAATGGCTGGAGCCGCCGTCATATGGACGCTTCCCACGACTGCTCGCAACATAACATAACATAACATAACATAATGATGTCGGCGCTGAAATGTAGGCCTGATGTGGCCTGTCGCCGATTCTTTTCCTTTTCGTGCCTTGTTCATAGATCTAAACTCGTGTCATTTGACCGGATCTTTTCATGACTGNTTCCAGAAATAAAACTTAATTATGAGAAGCTTTCTTTGCATGACGCGCGTGACGTGCTGGCGTATGAGCTTCCCTGCGCGTTTCATTAGCCGCGGTTTTTGTTATTGGCTGATTCTGCGTAATTTAAGGGTTCAGTCTTCATCATTGGCTGATTTAGTAATTCTGAGGCTCGGTCTTTATCATTGGCTGATTATGAGCAATTTAGGGGCCCGGTCTTCAATTTTGAGCAATTTAGGGGCCCGGCCTTCAATTTTGAGCAATTTATGGGCCCGGTCTTCAATTTTGAGCAATTTAGGGGCCAGATCTTCAATTTTGAGCAATTTAGGGGCCCGGTCTTCAATTTTGAGCAATTTAGGGGCCCGGTCTTCAATTTTGAGCAATTTAGGGGCCCGGTCTTCAATTGTTAGCAATTTAGCGGCCCGGTCTTCATCATCGGATTGTTTTGGGTAATTTTGAGGCTCAGTTTTCATCATTGGCTTTTTGCGCGGTCTTTAAAAATAAATCACTGGTTTGGATTTCGCAATGACGGCATGAGAGGATTAGCGAGCGCCTTTGTATGGACAGTTGACATTAATGGAATCCGACTTGATGAGACTTTGATGTTAATTTGATAGCACAATATGAGGCGCTCATTGATACGTGCAATTGATGTATTTTTCGGGCTGGAAATTAATTGTGTGCACTCTCGGTCATTTTTTATCATGTATAATTATTACTGAGACAGACGGGCATTCAATAAAAATTATTGAATGGGATTCTTTATTTGGCTTGTGAATGAGTTAAAAAAGTTTCGGCTCACTCATTTGATATCAATTAGTACGATTACAAACCCTTTGATGCTCTATGATAGTTTTCATACCAAGATTCCCTTCACGCCTTTACAAGACGAAATTCAATCAATTCCAGTTCAAATATTTGTGGGATATTATCTGACAAGGAAATGCTGTCATGTTGGTTATACATATAGCAATATCATGTATATTACTGGCATGGCGATTTCAAGACAATTCTGTTAAATTTTAACACATCGTTATTGAAATTCCATTTGTAACTTTTCTGACTTTCATGTTGAGTTAATTGAAAGTACATTTGGGCATATATATTTTTAATGCGTTCTTGGGTGAGACGACATGGCTCGAGGGGGACTCTGACGCATCGCAGCGAGTCTAAACGCCAATGCTAAATACTAACACTTAAAGCTAGCACTAAATATTATTACTAAACTCTACTACAATATCCTAATACTAAATGCTAATAATAAATCCTAATAATAAATACTAGCACTAAATAATAGCACAATTAACCTAATATTAAATACAAATATTAAATAGAAGTACATATAAAACAAAATAGAAAACCTAAATACCAATACTAAATATCTACCTTTAAAGTTAATGCCAATATTACACACAAAACTGTCGATGAGCTACGACGACGCGCGGCCAGTGAGTCAAGAGCGACTTGAGATTCATTTAAGAAGTAGACGGATTTCCCTACGAGGGGCGAATATCTGGCTGCCTTGGGGAACTCGTTATTATATTAATATAATAAGGGACTATAGATCATTATCACAGACAAATATAATGCGTCGCCAAGGATCATTGTTTTGTATTGCGTTGCTTGATGTTAATAGATATTTTTATTATTTACCTTTGGGAAGTAAATTCTAGCTTTTCCACTAATTGGTCCGGCTTTGAAAATTTTTTGAACAAATTGGGAATGAAATTTTCCATGGTTTTAAACAATAATTCATCTTGAAAAATAGTCTGCAATCTTCAAGTTATTCATGTTTACTTTTTACACCCTTTTCAATTGCAGAAGTTTATCTTAAAATTTTTGTGTTAAATAAGTAAATTCCACATGACGAGATACTTCCTACAGATATCTTATAATCTGCTCGTATCTATAAATTCAATCACGTTGACACTGCAGTTACGCCAGAGTGCGGTGTAGGATAAGTGCGTTGCAATAAGTTAGTGAGGGACTATAAGCTTGTGCCATATAGGCACAGGGATGGAGATAGATAGGATTTTGGGGGTAGAGCTCATCTAAAAAATTAAAACAATAAATAATTAAAAATTGATTAATTAGGAAACAGAAGGTGCGTGTAAGAATCTCATCTAGTTCTACGATAAATTACTACTTTGAACCGCATTCTACACTAAATTAATTTACAAATAAATTAGAAGAAATAGTACCGAAAATCATAATAAATAAAAATGTCCTCACCTGGACGGCAGCAGGTGTAGGAGTCTCTGCAGCGCTGGACTCTAAGTGGGCAAACTCCCGACAAAAATCTGCTCGGAAAAACATAAAAAAGAAAGAGCTATGACCTAAAACTGTTGCCTGAGTCAAGGCAATTGTGGGGGATAAAAGAAGCAGAGAAGTTGGGATAAATAGACTTGGGGTGAGCGAGGGACACTAAGTCACACTATAAGCTGCAGAGGAAGCAAGGGGCAGGATAAAACATCTTGCACAAACAAGAACGTTGAGGTCTTTTAGCAACGTGCCGTGTTGGAGATTTTTTGTTGGCTTTTGTATAAAACCAAAAAAATAAGCATTTGTTTCGGTAAAAGCTTGGTGGAGTTAATAAACAATCATCTCTTTTACATGAATTAAAATTTTACCAAACGCCCCGTAAGGTTTAGTTAATATCAGTAAAAGCTAAAAATCGACAAGGGGTCTGATAAATTGTTTGCGGTATGAATGGACTTGCTGACACGTTTGACTGTGGTGTGAATGGACCATTATTGTTCAATTAAAATCTTATTAAAATACTTATTTTTCTGATTGAGTATTTTTCTCCGTCGATCAAAGTTTGCTAGCATTTTTCAGAATGGTTCAGCAAATAAAGTATTCGGCCTTAAATTCAATGGCGATAATAATTATCGGGCATTTTTCACAATGAATCTATCAAGTTCAAAACCATCCGTCACGAGCCGGGCTATTACAGGAAGTCATATTGTGTTATTTAGTATCTTTGTTCGAGCTTTCGATTCGCCCATGTACTAATGTATGTCAAGTCAGCCTATATTTTGGCTCTAATTAAAAAAGCACTTCAGAAGTAGCAGCTTTTATCTCGGCAAAGTTGGGCGCGATTGTTCTGACGGCAATTTGAAGTCTCGGAGCTAGTATTATTGTTTAAGCAGTCAAAGAAATAGCCTTCTGAAAAAGCTTTGATATTTTTCTTAAGAGTCGCTAGTTTAATTATTTCAATCAATTTTTGCTGCAATTAAGTTAGAGTTTCGCTTCTAAGAAATAATAATCTGGTTAAGTGTAAAAACAATTACAGAAAATGCGTAACCGACGTTAGTTTTTTAGCTCAAGCATACAAAAATATCCACGTTACGGATCTTGTATCAGTAAACAAATGTACATTTTTTTAATACATTCATTGGACCAGAAGGAGGTTAAAAATCCTATGAATTAACTGCTCGGAATATCACCTCAAGCCTGTATTACACCACAGAATGAATCACACCAGCGGTAGCTCGCACGGCTTGTGAAAGTCTTTTGGTAACTCAGTAACAAACTCCAAGACATCAATAACATAAAAAAATTACAAGTTAAGAGTCAATAAAAATCAATTAATAACATAAAATATAATCAATAACATAAAAATGACAAGAAAAATACAGATACTTATAGTTTGAATACAAAGGCTTCAATTGAGCACATCAAAGAATAGCACACCTTGCATGCCTCCAGAACTCGAGCTTCTGCGGTCGCCTTTGTCTTGCACAGGCAGGAGCAGGTGACTTCCTCCCGCCAGCGAGCCTGATGAATACTCGCCTGATCAAAGAAAAAAAATATAACTCTGTACTCACTGCAGTGAGTGACAGAGAGCGCATTTTCTCGTCGACTAAAATGTGAAGTCACGGACAGACGGACTAACGAATGGACGGACATGACGAGCACAATAGTGCATTTTTTCCAAAATGAGAAAATGTGCTAAAAACACGTATTATATCCATTTTCCGTGTATATCACAATTGTGCACATAGAAGATAATGCAATAATGATAAATTTCAATTGATTGTTTGATTTGAAGGTACCTAGCAAAATTCTGACGCGAAGTTTTTAAAAACTGTGAAACATAAAGCAAATTAAATGTTCGATGTGAGGACTCGAGAGTTTTGAATCAGTCCGCAAATAGTGCCAAGCTTGTTTTGTAGCAACCGCTTGAGTTACTTCAAGGATTAGAAACATTTTTGATGTAACAAATACCAACTGCCTCGCAAATATTATTTTTGCTATGAGAGTTTTTTCACTGGGATAGATAGTTGAAAATAAATAAAATTAGGCTGTATGAATATTATTGGATTATTGCCAATCAATGTTGTAATGAAAGTTTAAATATCCTGTATTGAATGTTGCCGGTAACCTAATTTTAGTTCATTTCATTTTATTTCCTCCATTCGATGATTCTTGAAATTATAAATGCACGATATCATTTAATTAATGAGCAGCGCCCGGCTTGAGAGTCTCTGGAGGCTCATTTGCAACAAAGCACGGAATATATTAATGATCTATACCAAATTGAAGATCCGCGCCCAACAACGCATTTAAATAACGCAATTGTAACGGCTTCTTGATAAGCTGCTACGCTTAAAACTCTTCAGCATTAGTTTGCCCTTATAGCGTGCTGATGAGGAGGTTCAATAAATGTTATGATAATTTATTGAACCTCCTGCTGATAATTTATTATTTATTAATAATAAATGATAATTTATTAAAACTTCTGCTAAAGAGGAGGTTCAATAAATGTGTCCTAGGTTCGCTTCGTTGGTTTATTAGAAGGAACAAATTAGTTGCAATTATCGAATAAATACGCACAAAACATGGGAAAACGAACACATTTTAGAAACAGTGGCAAGGTTATGACAAATAAATATCAGGTTAGCAATGAAATAAACAAGGAGAAAAGTAAACGTAGGGCTAATATATATAATTTGCTAAAAATACTGAACAGGTAATTCCATCACGGCAACTAAGACAAGTAAAGCTATTGAACCTCCGACACTTGGCACAGACGCGCGCAATGTGGTCGGTCAGGAGATCCGAGTTCGCAATCTGCTATTCCAGCAGATGTTGCCTAAATAAAGTTGTAATATCAACATTTAACTTTTATAGTTAATGAACTGCGGCTTCAATTAACGTGGTAAAGTTAAAAAATTCGTAGAACACAAACCAATATACAATTGAACACATTAGACTCCCCTCAATTCCTCAAACTTACCCGGGGTGGTATCGCCGTTGACAGAGATACCGTCAGCTGTCTCCTTATCTGCACAGTCAGACGGTAGACTGACAGCGCGCCCTGCTGTCAGCCTGCGAGCTCTGTACCGTCTCAGTGAGGCTGCCAGCAGTGAAGTGGTCAGCAGTGCCAGCAGTACGACGACGCTCCCGATGATCCCTGCCAGCAGAGACGATGCTGTTCCTGGAGGCGTGGTGTCAGCATCTGAATCAAAGGAAAAAATATGTAATTGTACCAAAGTGCAACATTAAAAAGTAAGTATAATAAAAAAAGTAAAATGTATAATTAAAAGTATTCTTACGATATTTCAGTAAGATTTATTCGCATTATTCGTTTAATACCAAAGCGTATACAGGGTCCGCCATATTTATGGCAACGCATGTTTTTTGTTATTTCTCAATGAAACAAACAGGTGCATTGTTTTTTATTGGATGAGCTAGTAGCCAAGAATTACCTAAACAATTCTCAAACATTTTCTCAGACTTCTGCAATATAAAATAAATGAATTAATAGATGATATTAAGCTTCACTATAAAAGAAAAGTTTCCTAGAAACCAATTTATTTTTATATAGCAAACATCCGTTGCCATAANTCTGCTCAAACTAATTAGGTATACTAATCGTGTCATTAATCCAGAAAATTTCAGAATTAAAAATAAGATCTTAGTTTAGCAGCACAGAAAAAATGGTGGATAATAATAAATCAGCGTACATGGGTTGAGCAGCTGGAAGAAATTATAGAGCGAGCGAATTCATTCTGTTGTTGCCCTTCTATTGAATTATTGAGGTCTTAAACCTAAAAAGTGCAAAAAATTTGTTAATCATTTTTCGCCAAAGTTGGATGATACTCAAAAAATTTACCTATAAAATAAGAACAAATTTACAACTGGTGTTTGCGAAAAAGTGCTAAATTCAACTTAAATCTAAATTAAGTTCCAGGTTGAGGGAATTTTTATGAAAGTATCCTGAAACAAACTAAAAAAATAATACCAGAAAGTTTGCAAATTACTGTTCATTGGAATTCGTTCCCTGTTTTTCTGACTCGAGGGCAAACGTCATCAATCATAAAATTCTGATTCCGGAGTAAATTAAGTCCTGTGATTACAGAATATCGAATATAGAGATAGTATAATTGCGTTAACTATTGGTTCAGCGATTCAAGACGTTTTAATAGGTGCATTTTAAAATCAAAGATGTTTGAAAGTCGCTGGGATCTATAAAAAAAATGTCTCCATGGAAACGTTTGAAAATAGCGGTACAAGATAGCCCGAGATCTAATTTCATACATAACATGCCTCTCAATTCTTGGTATTGTCATTAAGCAAGAAAAACTGCATCAGTAAAACAAGAACGAAACGAACACTTATATCATTTTAATGCCGTCGTCTTAAATCTTTTAGTTAAAAACCTGGTCAAAATTGGAATTTTTAGCGAACAATCTGACCAAGAGTTCTTCGAGGGTTGCTTTTGTTTTAGAGTGAACTATTCTCGACACACATAAAACACATTCATATATTATTCAAATCCCACAAATAATTACAATGGCGATTGAGAAAATTGATATACATCATAAGCATTCGATTCATCAGGGGCAGGAAAATTCGAAATAAGAGTTTAAAATTCTCCGTTGTTATTGGAACTGTTCAAGACTAGACTATAATAATGCGTCTTTTAAATTTTGATGCGAACTCAGTCGCGCAAATTTCAGGCAGATCATAGAAGATAAAGGAATAACTTTCATAAATCCCCATTGTTAAATTTGGTGAGGTATGTTGAGATATTCCGTGCCTGGTACGATTATGATAGGTTGAGATGGATATATGCGTCTGAAATATAGTTATTAGTCATACGTCCTAATTTTATTTTTAAAATCAAGCGACGTATGGTTCCGAATGTTAAAAAAAAAATCAATTCCGTAGCGGCTGCTTAAACTCTTGTGATCTTGATTAACTCTTGATCTTGATTTAAACTCTTGTGATCTTCCACGCTATTCCTTCAGATGCTCTTGGAACACTTCTAGATCCCGACTCCTTCCGCGTCTCAATTACTCTTCGAGTTGGCGCAAATGTATGCGAACCCCACACTTGTCGGTGCGGAAAGCGGATGGATGCACGAGGGCTGCATGGCCTTTCTTGTAAGTACAGCGCTGGGCGACATCCAAGACACTCGGCTCTGAACGATGTGATCAGGAGGGCTCTTCAGAGCGCTGGCGTTCCTTCATGCCTTGAACCCGTTGGAGTGGACAGAGGGGATGGTAAGAGACCGGATGGCTTAACGGTTTTTCCGTTTTCTAATGGGAGGTGTTTGTGCTGGGATGCAACCTGCGTCGACACTTGTGCTGAGTCGCACGTCAATAATTCGGCTATTTCTGCTGGGTTCGCGGCTCGTGCGGCGGAGGATAGCAAGAGACGTAAATACGCGGCGTTGGCAGCACGGTATCGTTTCGAGCCAGTCGCATTAGAAACGACGGGCACATATGGTGAAACGACTGGTCCTTTAATATCAGAGATTGGCCGTCGCATTACGGAATTGTCCGGCGAACGTAGAGAGACTCTATGGTTGGAGCAAAGGTTGGGTTTGGCTGTGCAGAGAGGCAATGCAGCTAGCATCCTAACAGCAGTCAGAGAAAAGTTCGACGTGGGCCCGCTCCTCGCTCGCGTCACAGCTCAGTGACCCTCGGAGTCGGTGTAGGCCACCATCAGAGGCGTTAAGGTCGGGGCCCTGATCATTGACATGAAACCATTCCCTGTTTTTAATTAATAAAATCAATTCCTTTTTTTTGTTGGAATGGTGAGTGTGGGAGGCCTTTAAAAAAAATTTATAAGAGAAAATTAACTATGAACTTCTTATCAATTCTGGTATTGGCTTTGTAAAATTAGTATCATGTAAGTGCCAAGATACCGTCAGTACTCTTTAGAACACATAAATATTATTAAGGAATATATTTAGCTTCACAGTCAGCCCTATTCGCTAATATTCTTGCGAACTATCAACTGCTATAATACATTTAGTTTTATTTACAAAAACTGACGAGAATCTTAATTGCAATCAGAACTCACTAGTTCTATTCCAAGCAACATCTCGCGTCTATCGATCTGGGTTCTTTTTCTCTGGAGTTTAGTACGAAAATGAGGCATGCTTTTTGTGACCAAGAAACTTTGCCTGTGCGTTTCGGTTTGGTTTAGAACTCATTCTAATAGACTTTCTTCTGTGTTCACTATGATAACGCAATAATTGTAAATTTTATTTAAAAGCAAAAATAATTTGATCATAGATATAGACGATGTGCACTAAAAATATTTTTCATTTGATGTATGGAAAATTCTACAATAGCTGAAGCTGCTACCAGTGCACTTCGTTTCCTTCAGTCTTGAATTCAACAACATTATTTGAATATTAAGTGTACACGAATTTGCTCCTTCATTAATTGCCGTAGAGCAAAAATCCTATAAAAACAGAAAAAAGAAAACACAATACCTAAAGAAAACATAGAGCTTGATTTAGTTTCGTAATTATCAGACAATACCTTAGAAGAAATATTTTAGCCTATCAAAATAAATTGGGTATTCTCACCGGAGAGCTCTCACCGGCACCGCGCTGTCTCACCTTTCGCTTGCCTTGAGTAAGGAATACGTAATAATAATAATAATAAAATAAAATACAAGTACAAAATAAAACAAAAACCAAAAATAGTAATAATAATGAAAAAAAATATATATATACATATAAAAATAAAAAATAATGATAATAATAATATAATAAAATAAAATACGACTTTCAACCAATTCAGACTGGGTCTGCTTCTACGGAGGAATGTCCCAGTAATACGTATTAGAACGCGTTCTTCTAGAATACTGAGGCAGCACAATCTATTTACGACTTTATCACATTTATTAAGGAATAAATAGATTTTGTATGAATTATTAGTATAAAATCTAGTTATTTTACAGTACTCGGCAATAAGTACCCATTCTTGTTTGTAAGTCACATGAATGGCTACAGGGAATTCTTTCTTACCCTGGCTACAGGGATTTCCGCCGTGGGTTAGTCCAAAGTCGTTTCCGTGGAAATTTATTGAAATATTGGGTGGCAACCTAAACAACGTAATCTGCAAAAAAATGATAAAGAAATGATTTACAATTTGTCCTATTCTTTACAGACTCAGATAACATCAACTCGACGAATTCTATATCGGAACTATAAAAATTTCTAAGAAATGAACAATGGCTGGACTAGGTACTGTGCATGAAACGTCACTGAATGCCTAGCTTTGAGTATTTAATAGGAAAACGCATACTTAATCGTTAACACTGAAATTTATAGCAAAATGAATGCACAACAAATAATCTGATGGTCACAGAATTAAAAGTCACGAGGATTGCGGCTCCATCATAAAGACGTGAATGAACACTGAACAGTGGACAGACATGAAGCGGAGCACAGCCGACTTCCAAGTCAGAGTGAACAATGACGAGCAAGAGCAATAACGCTATGACGTGGAGTGTCTCTAAACTGAAATTACAAATTACAAAATTATCGCAGGAGTCAGGACTATCGTCGCATGAAAAGTAAAAAAAAGCAATGGGATAGGTTTATCCCTTTTAGCTGTAAATAATTGAATTTAACGAAAGGGAAATTTCGCGGGCGCGACAGCAATAAAAAAAGTAAAATTTTCAGAGTGGGTAAAAATGATACACAGAATTTGAGAATTTCTTTATTCTGAAATGTTCTTGCCTGAGAAAATCAATTAACGATGGAGGAATAATGCTGTGAAGTGATTATTAATAAAAAATCGTACAAAAGTGGTAGGCTTTATGCAAATAATTATCCTCAATGAAATTTTACATCTTCATGAGTGTATGGAAGTAGATAAGACAACTCTTAGTAGATAAGACTCAGTATAAATAATGTAATATATGAAATGAAATGAAATTCGCTTGTTCGTTTGATTCCATTAATTATCAAAAAAAGCTTAATCAATTAATTGGTTGAAAGCTTCATTAAAAGTTGAATCGACTGATCGAATAATAATATTAATAACGATGTTCTTAAATGATACATTATTTCACTTAATTTCTATAACAGACACGGACGAAACATTCACCTCTAATTACTGACTTTACAATTTATTATTCTTTCGTTAAATGCATACATATAATGCGTATGAATAAGTGTTTCTCAACCTTATTCAATTAATAATAATTCGCACCAACAAATAAAGCACACATTTCGAGACTTCGTATTACTTTCAAGCGGGTAATGTAATGAAAACAATGAGGTTGGTCTCTACTGTGTCCAACTTGATATTAACAAAATATTTTTATTAATTTTAAATTAATAAATAATAAATATTATTATTAAGTGCACCTTCAAACGACAGTTCTCAGAGCCCAGTGAAAGGCGTTTGCCAAATCTGGATTTGAAAACAAAGGCAAATTTGAACTACTACAATCTATTGTTATATCATACCTGGGACGCGCATTTTGTGTGGCACGTAAATTTGTTCCACAGTTCAATCAGTTCAAAAAGACCTAAAAATTCGAGCCGAAAGTGATAAAAATCAAACAGTTAATTCTTTATTTTTCAAACAAAGTCTAAATCCCTCGCCCGGAAATAAAAGATTTTACCATCGTGCAAATATTTGTTCCTAAATCTGCAAGTGTGTTTTTTCTAAATCAATTCGGAATGCAATTATATTTGCAGTTAAAACCTGTGGCAAAAAAATCTAATCACCAATACGCAAGAAAGCCCGAAAACTTCCCACCCAAAGAAGATGTTGATCAGCAGCGATGTTGCAATAATACGCAGGTGTGTTTTTGCAGAGGCAGATCCAGAAAGCGTTCACGTTACCGACGCTAAATCTAAAACAACAATGGCTGGAGCCGCCGTCATATGGACGCTTCCCACGACTGCTCGCAACTTGAAACGCTTTACAATTTGACGAGGCCCTCATGAGCGATCAGAGGCCATACTTTAAAAAAAGTTAAGAGATCGTAAGTTCATCAGCTAATCATTGACGGCCTTTCAAGCAAAATCCACCAATCATAGACAAGAAAATAGAGCGTAGGCACTTACGATCACTTAGCGAGTTTTGAAAGTATAGGTCCTGGACCACAACTGCAGCGAGGCTGACTTGTGCGATGAAGCTGCGAGAAACTGTTGTCTGATTTTCTTTGAATATGATGGGTAAACTTTGTTTTCCTATTATGTGTTTAAGAATTTCAAATTTGATCAAATTGTTAATTTAATTTAATCGCTCACATCAGCTTCAAAGTAGCTTTCAAAAAGGGGTGTCAAAATATATCTTTCGTTTATTAAATATGCTGTCTGCATACTTAATATCTATATCGGAATCGAAATATCAAAGTAACATACAGTAATTAAACTGTCATTTACCAGTAAAATTGCCTATTTAAACAGCGGTCAGCTTGATGGAAATCTTGCCTATTCTATTGATTAAGAAATTTGGACGCTAATTAGTGTGCTCTGCTGGTGCTCGAACGTGAAATTTTAATTGGGATTGCTGTTGTTGCGTCTTTAAAATCTACGAACACTGAATTCAGATCCAGATAATGTTATGTGAAAGATAATCTCTGCATGTGCGGAGCCTCGCTGTCTCTTGTCTTCCCCCATTCCAGATCCAGGATTCCCAACATTGTTGCCCCATTATTATAATTCCATTATTTACCAGGATTTCACTGTCAATTAGGATTTTTCTGACAATTACAGCAATTACAATTAGTCACGTGAGCTATTAGCATGTAGTCTTGTTTTAGAGGGTTTGTATTCTCAATAATCTCATTTTCCATGTATATGTCTTGCGAAATAATCAACAGTTAAATTATATATATTTTGTTTTCCTATTTCGACATCGAAATTCGTAACGTTTTAATTATCGGGTTTAAATATATCATATAATAATTATATAATTATATAATAAATTAAATATCGATAACGTGTATCTTCATGAGAAAAGAGTCTTAGCATCGCGGTATGGCGCTGATGAAGGATGTAGCATTTCCATAAAATATGGGATGGCTTCAGTATCGTAATGTATAAATGCCCTAAACGAGAATTATGATCTAACAATTAGCATACTGTGAATCACCGGTACTGTGACCTGGAGACCCCCACATGACGTCATCGTTGACACCAATTTCTTTGCGAAGGTCTTTGATACGAGATGGCATCGAACGTCTATCTAAAGATCCACATTCTTCTGTACGGTCATGTCTGAGTAACGACTCATCGACCCGAAAGCCCACACGGCGTTGTTCAGTGCCATGAGGTATTTCGTTTCTGTCTGAGGTATCATTGCAAGTAAATTCGCTTCCTCTTCTGATGTACCGGTAACCACAAGAGTACAAGGCAGGGTTGGTCGCGGCTGAATCTTGAATACGAGGACTGAATGTCGCATTGCGGCTGATTGCGATATCGCGTTCAGGCTGCAAGAGAAACAATTTAAGGGTCATTTCAATAGGAATTTTGGCCGAAAATCCTGTCAATGTTAGGTTAATTAGGTTATCGAAAAATTATTCGTAAAAAGTTCGATCAGCTCCTTTGTTGTTAACTTTTATCATTTCGGCTCGTTAGCGGGAATGCAGACATAGGTACAATACCCTTGTCAGAGATGCAACTATAAACCCCATTATCAAGGCTCAAGTTTTTACATTAAGTGAACAAGTTATTTTGTAGTCAATGGGTAGATTTTGTCACATATACCACCAAAAGGGCAAAAATATAAGTAAGACATATAAGGGTTTTTGCATAAAAGTATCAAGCTACCAAAAAAGCTGAACAGTTACTAAAAGGAACGTAAATAATAATTGAGGTTCAATTTTCGAGTCGAATGTTGAGCTCAGCCAAGTGCTATCAAGCGCACCCAAATTAGGATCGTACCTCCATAAAAATTTAGAACTATTTTCAAATTTAATTACTGGAGAAAATAGTCTAAAATAGCCGAATAATATCGGTTGATTTGGCGAGAAGTAATTTTATTATTTTCGTACTACTTGCTGAAATTTTTATGAAAATTCCTGCAAAGAACGTGTTGTCTCAAATTAAAATTTAAATAAAGAAAATACTGAAAATTTAATCATTAAAGTTAGTTTTTTTGAAACAAATAGTGTTCATTTAATAACAAAAAATTTTAATTGAAAACAAGTAATTAATTTGTTAACAAAGCGGAGGACCATTCGTGATATTTACTTGATTTCCGATTAACGGTTTTCCAGAAATAAAACCTAATCATGAGAAGTTTTCTCTGTATGACGCGCGTGACGTGCTGGCGTATGAGCTTCCCTGCGCATTTCATTAGCCGCGGTTTTTGTTATTGGCTGATTCTGCGTAATTTTAGGATTAGTCTTCATCATTGGCTAATTTGGTAATTCTGAGGCTCGGTCTTTATCATTGGCTGATTTTGAGCAATTTAGTGGCCCTGTCTTCAATTTTGAGCAATTTAGCGGCACGGTCTTCAATTTTGAGCAATTTAGGGGCCCGGTCTTCAATTCGAGCAATTTAGCGGCCCGGTCTTCAATTTTGAGTAATTTATGGGCACGGTCTTTAATTTTGAGCAATTTAGGAGCCCGATCTTTAATTTTGAGTAATTCAGGGGCCTGGTCTTCAATTTTGAGCAATTTAGGGGCCCGGTCTACAATTTTGAGCAATTTAAGGGCCCGGTCTTCAATTTTGAGCAATTTAGGAGACCTGTCTTCATCATCGGCTTGTTTTGGGTAATTCTGAGGCTCGGTTTTTATCATTGGCTTTTTGCGCAGTCTTTAAAAATAAATCATTGGTTTGGATTTCGCAATGACGGCATGAGAGGATTAGCGAGCTGCCTTTGTATGGACAGTTGACATTAATGGAATCCGACTTGATGAGACTTTGATGTTAATTTGACAGCACAATATGAGGCAATCATTGATACGTGCAACTGATGCATTTTTTCGGACTGGAAATTAATTGTGTGCGCTCTCTGTCACTTTTTATCATGTATAATTATTACCGAGACAGACGGGCATTCAATAAAAATTATTGAATGGGATTATTTTTTGGCTTGTGAACGAGTTAATGTTTCGGCTCACTCATTTGATATCAATTAGTACGATAACAAACCCCTCGATGCTATATGATGGTTTTCATACAAAAATATTCTTTACACCTTTTCATGACGAAATTCAATCAATTCCAGTTCAAATATTTCTGGGGTATTATTTGACAAAGAAATGCTGTCATGTTGGTTATATATTGCTGGCATGGCGATTTCGAAACAATTTTGTTAAATTTTAACTCATTGTTATTGAAATTCCGTTTGTAACTTTTTCTGACTTTCATGTTGAGTTGATTGAAAATACGTTTATGTATATATTTTCTTAATACGTTTTTGAGTGAGACGACATGGCTCGAGGTGGACTCTGACGCACGCTTTGCGGCGAGTCTATTAAACGCCGAGGCTAAATACTAAAATACTAATACTCAATATTAATAATTAATAATACTATACTCTAATACCATATCCTGACACTCAATACTAATAATAAATACTAGTACTATATACTAGTAACACGACCTAATATTGAAAACTAATTCTAAATAGAGTAAATAAAGTAAAATAGAAAACCTAAATACCAATACTAAAGACTTACCTATAAAGATGATGCTAATTTTACACACAAAACTGTCGATGAGTCACGACCACGCGCGGCTAGTGAGTCAAGAGCGACTTGAGATTCATTTAAGAAATGGACGGAAATTCCTACGAGGGACGAATATCTGACAGCCATAAATCAAGGGAAACTCTTTATTATATTAATATTATAAGGGACTGTAGATCATTACCTCACTTAAATGTAATGCGTCGCCAAGGATCATTGTATTGTACTGCGTTGCTTGTTGTTAATAAATATTTTCATGAATTTCCTTTGGGAAGTAAATTCTAGCTTTCCCAATCCTTGGTCCGGCTTTGAAAGTTTTTGATCAAATTGAAAGGAAATTTTCAATGGTTTAAACAATAATTCATCTTGAAAATCAATCTACAATCTTCAAGTTATTCATGTTTATTTTTTACACCCTTATCAAGCAGAAGTTTTCCCTAAAATTTTTGGTGTTCAATTAGTAAATTCCACATGACCAGAAACTTCCTACACATATCTTATAATAAGCTCGTATCTATAAATTCAATCACCGCGACACTGCAGTTACGCAAGATTGCGGTGTAGGATAAGTGCGTTGCAATAAGTTAGTGAGGGACTATAGGCTTGTGCCATATAGGCACAGGGATTGAGATAGATAGGATTTTGGGGAGTAGAGCTCATCTAAAAAATTAAAACAATAAATAAATTGAAAATTAATTAATTAGGAAACAGAAGGTACGTGTAAGAATCTCATCTAGTTCTACGATAAATTACTACTTTGAACCGCTAGGAATGCTTTCTATAATAAATTAATTTATAAATAAATGAGAAGAATTGTACCGAAAATCATAATAAATAAAAATGTCCTCACCTGGACGGCAGCAGGTGTAGGAGTCTCTGCAGCGCTGGACTCTAAGTGGGCAAACTCCCGACAAAAATCTGCTCGGAAAAACATAAAAAAGAATAAACTGTTGCCTGAGTCAAGGCAATTGTGGGGGATAAAAGAAGCAGAGAAGTTGGGATAAACAGACTTGGGGTGAGCAAGGGACACTATAAGCTGCAGGGGAAGCAAGGGGCAGGATAAAATATCTTGCGCAGACAACAACGCTGAGGCCTTTCAAAATTCTCAACAACGTTGAGAATTTTACCGTGTTAGAGAATTTTTGTTGGCTTTTGTATAAAACCAAAAAAATTGAGTATTTATTTCGGTAAAACTTGGTGCAGATAACATACAATAATCTCTTTTACATGAATTAAAATTTTAAAATTTTACCAAACGTCTCGTCAGATTTAGTAAATATTAGACCAAGCTAGAAATCGACAAGGGGTCTGAAAAAATAGTATGCGGTATGAATAGACTTGCATGCTGGCACTTTTCAGTGTGGTGTTAATGGACCATTATTGTTCAATTAAAATCTTATTAAAATACTTATTTTCCTGATTGAGTATTTTTATCCGTCGATCAAAGTTGGCTAGCATTTTTCAAAATGGTTCAACAAATAAAGTATTCGGCCTTAAATTCAATGACGATAATAATTATCGGGCATTTTCCACGATGAATCTATCAAGTTCAAAACCATCCGTCACGAGCCGAGCTATTACAAGAAGTCATATTTTGTTATTTAGTATCTTTGTCCGAGCTCTCGATCCGCCCATGTACTAATGTATGTCAAGTCAGTCTATATTTTGGCTCTAATTTAAAAAGCACTTCAGAAGAAGCAGCTTTTATCTCGGAGAATTTGGGCCCGATTGTTCTGACGGGAATTTGAAGTCTCGGAGTCAAAACAATCCAGAGTTGTTGTCTGTAAAATTGACGTCCATCAAGCGCTATTTTGAAGAAGCGACCATTACTTTTTAATTAACTACTCGCCAGGCTGTAATTAATAAAATAAGGAGAGTGAAAGCTCTCTCAATTAATATTACGATAGAGCTGCAACGATGCAACGGCGTTTTAACTTTGAACAGTTAAGTACGTTATAAAAAGGTGAAATAACATTTCATAATTACTTTACTTACAATCGAGAGCCTCAAAAAATTTGTTTTAAATACACAGAATTATATTTTATTCGCAAAAGGAATTTATCTCCCATCTTAAGAATATTTGTATTTTTTTATCTTTGTATTTCTCTGCTGAAAATCCGAAGAAATTCCTAAAGTGCATCTCGACTGATTCACCAACGAACTCAGAAAAATATTCAATAGAAATTTCTATACTTATTTCGTTTAAACTGAAAAAATCATAGAATATTTTAAACACTATAAGCACCTAAATTTAAGAAGATTCAGTTAAATGATAAGTAGAACGTTTCCATTTTAAGCTAGTATTATCGTTTAAGCAGTCAAAGAAATAGACTCCTGAAAAAGCTTTGATATTTTTCTTAAGAGTCACTAGTTAATTTAATTCACTCAATTATTGCTGCAACTAAGTTAGCCTTTCATTTCTAAGAAATACTAATCTGGATAAGTGTATGAACGATTACAGAAAAAGCGTAACCGACGTTATTTTTTAAGCGCAAGCATACAAAAATATCCACGTTATAGATCTTGAATTAGTAAACAAGTGTACATATTAGTTTTGAATACATTCATTGGACCAGAAGGAGGTTAAAAATCCTGCGAATTAAGTGTTCGGAATAACACCTCAAGCCAGCATTACAACAAAGAATCACACCAGCGGTAGCTCGCACAGCTTGTAAAAGTCTTTTACTAACCCAGTAACAAACTCTAAGACATCAATAACATAAAAAATTACATGTTAAGAGTCAATGAAAATCATATATAATCAATAACATAAAAATTACAAGAAAAATACATACATATGGTTTGAGCACAAAGGCTTCAATCAAAGAATATCACACCTTGCATGCCTCCAGAACTCGAGCTTCTGCGGTCGCCTTTGTCTTGCACAGGCAGGAGCAGGTGACTTCCTCCCGCCAGCGAACCTGATGAATACTCGCCTGGTCAAAGAAAAAAATATAACTCAGTACCCACTGCAGTGAGTGACAGAGAGCGCATTTTCTCGTCGACTAAAACGTGAAGTCACGGAAGGACAGACGGACGGACTTGGCGAGCACAATAGTGCATTTTTTCCATAATGAGAAAATGCGCTAAAAACACGTATTATATCCATTTTCAGTGTATTTCACAATTATGCACATAGACAAGAATGCAATAATAATAAATTTCAATTGATTGAGGTCTTGAAGGTACCTAGCAAAATTCTGACACGATGTTATTGAAAGCTATGAGATAGACAGTAGGTTAAATGTTCGACGTGAGGACTCGAGAGTTTTGAATCAGTCCGTAGATTGTGCCGAGCTTATTGTGTTACTTGAGAAACTTCGAATATTAGAAACTTTTTTGATGTAACAAATACCAACTGCCACGTAAATATTTTTGTTGATATGAGAGCTCTTTCACGGGAATAGATTGTTAAATATTAATATAATTAGACTATATGTATATTCTTGGATAATTGCCAATTAATGTTGTAATGAAAGTTTAAATACCCTATAGTGAATGTTGCCAGTAACCTAATCTTACTTCATTTCATCTTCTTTCCTCCACTCGATGATGCTTGAAATTAGAAATGCACCCTATCACCTAATTAATGAGCAGCGCTCGGCTAGAGAGTCTCTCGAGGCACATTTGCAACAAAACTCGGAATATATTAATCATCTATACCAAATTGAAGATCCGCGCCCGGTAATGCATTTAAATAAGGCAATTGTAACGGTTATTCATAAGCTGCTACGCTTAGAACTCTTCAGCATTAGTTTGCCCTTGTAGCATGCTGAGCTCTAAGATAAAGAGAAGGTTCAATAAATGTGTCCTATGTAGGTTCGCTTCGTTGGTTTATTAGAAGGAACAATTTAGTTGCAAGTTATCGAATAAATATGCACAAAACATGGAAAAACGAATACATTTTATAAACAATGGCAAGGTTATGACAAATAAATATCAGGTTATCAATGAAATAAACAAGGAGAAAAGTGAACGTAGGGCTATATATATAATTTGCTAAAAAACTGAACAGGTAATTCCAACACGGCAAATAAGACAGGTAAAGCATTGGATTTCTGACACAGGGCACAGACACATAAAAATCGGTCGGTCAGGAGATCACGCGTTCATAATATGCTATTCCAGCAGATGTTGCCAAAATAAAGTTGTAATATTTGAGTATTTAACTTTTATAGTGAATGAACTGCGGCAACAGTTAGAGTGGTAAAGTTAAAAAATTCATAGATCACAAACCAATATACTATTGAACACACTAGACTCCCCTCAATTCGTCAAACTTACCCAGGGTGGTATCGCCGTTGACAGAGATACCGTCAGCTGTCTCCTTATCTGCACAGTCAGACGGTAGACTGACAGCGCGCCCTGCTGTCAGCGTGCGAGCTCTGTACCGTCTCAGTGTAGCTGCCAGCAGTGAAGTGGTCAGCAGTGCCAGCAGTACGACGACACTCCCGATGATCCCTGCCAGCAGAGGCGATGCTGTTCCTGGAGGCGTGGTGTCAGCATCTGAATCAAACGAAAAAATATTTAATTATACCAAAGCGTATACAGGGTCCGCCATATTTATGGCAACGCATGTTTTTTGTTATTTCTTAATGAAACAAACATGTGCATTGTTTTTTATTGGATGAGCTGGTAGCCAAGAATTACCTAAACAATTCTCAGACATATTCTCAGACTTCTGCAATATAAAGTAGATGAATTAATTAATAGATGATATTAAGCTTCACTATAAAAGAAAAGTTTCCTAGAAACCAATTTATTTTTATATAGCGAACATCCGTTGCCATAAATATAGCGGACCCTGTAATTAAACAGCAAAAGATATTCCAAAAAGATTGTATTTGCAGAATTCGTTTGATCGTGCTACAATTTTTTTTAATGTGAATTGTAAAATTTCGTATGATTATTTCTTATTCGGCCAAATAAAATGAAGTGATGAAGTTCTGGAATAAGGGATCGATTGACAGAAAGGGAGTTGGATTAAGTTTAATGAAAAAAAGTAAACAAAGCGTCAATGTAGCAGGCGAAATTTATTAGGTTATCAAAAAGTGGCGAGAGAATTACATGAAAAAAATCTTGTGAGCTAAGCTGCCGGTATAACCGTGAGTTAAATATATAAATTTGAATTCGCTCAGTGAAGTTACTTAAATTTTTTTTAAAACAGCAATGATATATTGCATGCTTTCATTCTTAAAGTTTGTTGAAGTTTGCTTAAACTTTTCATCGTGCTGTGCAGGCATCAAAACGAAAAAAAATGTTTTCCCTCGAATTTCGAAACTATCAAGGACATAAACCTGAAGAAGCTCGTGACCATCTTCGTTAAAAATAGAGAATTAAGTCTAATAAAATAGCATTATTGTCAGTTTCAAAACTCATAATTTATCTAAATATTTCTTATCACTACCATCACCTCATACCTTCACCATACCTTGGACCATCAAAGATCTTTAGCAAAAGATTATTATTATTAGCCATAGGCTCAGTATTACCAGAAACTTTACATGCGGAACTCTTTATAAAGAACTTGTTATTCTTAACTTACTCAAGCTTGTTGAAATAATCGTTAAATTGAGTTCGTATATGAAAATTTAAATGCTTTGTCATGATGAAAAACAAAATAAATCTTGACTTTCCAAAAGGTTATAAGGTATAACAAAATTCAATATTCTCAGCCGTGTTCGTTCAATGGATAATGAGAAATCGCTCAGTGTTACGTTACGCTCGGAGACTTGGTTCTCGATTGATTGTTGAGCTGGAATATAAGATGAATAATTATACTCGTAAATCGCTCCAAGATAAATACACAAAATTTATTCGCACTTGAAATTAGCCTCGATACTTTTGAAAAAAGGAAAGTCGAAGCCTTCCAAAAAAATCTTTGCACACAGTTTCAGAATTATAAAGCTGTTCAAAGTTAACATGACCTGTAAAAAAAGAATAGTTAGAGTATAAAATTATTAGCGAAACAAAAAATTACAACTAAATACATTCTTAGTTTATTATTTAATGAATGGCGAAAATGAATTAAAGCAATGAGTGAAACATATTTCCCTCAAGAATGGTTTCATTTTGAAGTTATTACGTTTGAAAATCGATGATCATACATAATGGACGGTATAATAATTTTAAGCTCTGACGAAGTTCATTCTCTGCAAATGAATACGCGGTGTTATTATGATATTCGTTGAAATTTTCATCATTATTAATTTACTCCTTACTTAAAACACACGAGGCATGTCTTGATTGGATAATTCTTGATTCCCACGAGGCATTTACTCACTAACAAGGCTGTCTGTTAAAGAAACTAAATCAGCACTAGCTGGGAATAGCTAACATAATTAGATGGTCCCGTCGTGAACAACTCTCCGAAAATGCAAACAAACTCATTGGAATTAACTTGAGCTGCTGAAACTAATTAGGTATACTAATCATGTAATTAATCCAGAAAATTTCAGAAATTAAAATAAGTTCTTAGTTTAGCAGTACGGAAAAAAATGGTGGAAATTAATCAGCGTAAATAAGATGAGCAGCTGGAAGAAATTATAGAGCGATCGAATTCATCCTGTTGTTGCCGTTTATTGAATTATTGAGGTCTTGAACCTAAAAAGTACAAAAAATTTGTTAATTCTTTTTCGCCAAAGTTGGACGATACTAAAAAAATTTACCTATAAAATAAAAACAAATTTATATCTGGTGTTTGCGAAAAAAGTGCTATATTAAACTTAAATTTAAATTAAGTTCCAGGTTGAGGGAATTTTGATGAAAGTATCCTGAAACAAACTAAACAAAGAGTACCAGAAAGTTTACAAATTATTGTTCATTGGAATTCGTTCCCTGTTTTTCTGACTCACGTATCTAGTGCAAACGTCATTAATCATAAATTCTGATTCCGGAGTTAAGTCCTGCGACTATAGAATATCGAATATAAAGATAGTATAATAGCGTTAACTATTGGTTCAGAGATTCAAGACGTTTTAATAGGTGCATTTTAGAATCAAGGATGTTTGAAAGTCGCAGGGATCTATAAAAAAATGTCTCCATGGAAACGTTTGAAAATAGCCGCACATGATAGCGCTATATCTAATTTCATACATGACACGCCTCTTAATTCTTGGTATTGGCCATTAAGCCAGAAAAACTGCACCAGTAAAACAAGAACTAAACGATCACTTATATAGTTTTGATACCAACGTCCTAAATCTTTTAATTAAAAACCTGGTCAAAATTGGAATTTGTAGCGAACAATCCGACCAAGAGTTCTTCGAGGGTTGCTTTTGTTTTAGAGTGCACTCGTCTCGACGCACACAAAACACATTCATGCATATTCAAACCCCACATATAATTACGAAGGCGGTTGCGAAAATTGATATACATCATAAGCATTCGATTCAGCAGGGGCAGCAAAATTCGAATAAAGAGTGAAAAATTATCCGTTGTTATTGGAACTGTTCATAATAATAGACTAAGCTATAAATATGTGTATTTTAAATTTTGATGCGAACTCTGTCGCGTAAATTTCAGGCAGATTATAGACGATAAACGAATATCTTTTTAAAATATCCATTGTTGAATTTGCTGAGGTACTTTGAGATATTCATGCCTGGTTCGATTATGAAAGGTTAAGACGGATATATGCGTCTGAAATATAGTTATTAGTCATGCGTCTGAATTTTAATTTTTAAAATCTAGCGACGTAAGGTTGCCAATGTTTAAAAAAAAACAATTCCATAGCCGCTGCTTAATCTCTTGTGATCTCGATTTAGAAGAGAAAATTAACTATTAATCAATTATTCTTATCAATTCTGGTATTGACTTAGCAAAATTGGTATCATGTAAGTGCCAAGATATCGTCCTTACTCTTCAGAACACATAAATGTTATTGAGGAATATATTTAGCTTCACAGTCAGCCCTATTCGCTAATATTCTTGAAAACTTTCAACTGCTATGATACATTTAGTATTATTTACAATAACTGACGAGAATCTAAATAGAAATCATGACTCGCTTGTTCTATTCCAAGCAACAATTAAATAATAAAGCATTTGATGAAGAACGACAAACGAAACTGATAAGGACCTTAACGAGTGAAAATAATAAATGCTTATGCAATAATATACTTGAAGTAGAACATTTATGAAGGTATAGATTGTATTATAATAATAATGGTGATAATAAAAAAATTTAACTCAGTACTCACTGCAGTGAGTGACAGAGAGAGCATTTTCTCGTCGACGAAAACTTGAGGTCGCGGACGGACGGACAGACGGACGGACTGACAGACGGACATGGCGAGCACAATAGTGAATTTTTTCCATAAATGAGAAAATGCGCTAAAAATAATGATGATGTTGATAATAGTATGACGGTTGCTAATTCGTTGAGCAATCTAGGGTGGAAACCGTCTGATCCAGATGACTTGTTGGGATTCAGGGAGACCAGGCGCTTGAGAACCTCCTCTTCATGTATCTCGAAACTAGTTAACTTCGAGTGCACTGGTCGCTCCTCAATAGCTGGAATACTGTTCAAGTCCTCATCTGTGAAGACACTGCGAAAGAACTGATTTAGAACATTGGCCTTGCCCTCGTCAGAAGATATCTTCCGTTGATTTACATTCAAATCAGCAATACCGTCCCTTGTCTTACACTTCGAACTAGCATACAAGAAGAAGGCTTTCGGGTTCTTTTTCGAGTTTTTGGCAACGTCTTTTTTAAAATTTTTGACTGCGGTGCGACAAGCTTTTTTAGCTTGATTTCGAGCTCTAGCATACAGGTTATACCCAGCATCGCTACGAGTTCGTAAATAACGCTTGTAGGCTTCCTTCTTTGCTTTTAGCTTTGCTTTAACCGTATTGATCATCCACTGTGTTTTTCTGACTCCACCGAGCTTTATCTTAGGTACACACGCATCAACTGCAGACATAACAGTGTTCTTTATGAATGACCAAGACTCCGCCACATTCATGTTCATGATACAGTTCGAAATGTTCGCTGCACTCACTGATTCACGAAGTTTAACATAGTCGCCTTTCGCATAGTTGAAACGTTCACGCTTCCGAGGCGTCTTTTCTGTATAGCACTTAATACTGAAAAACAATGACTGGTGGTGACTTTTGCCCAACGGAGCCTCGTGGCAAAGCTCTTCTACCATTGATTCTTCACTAGTAAACACTAGGTCTAGAGTATTTGGAGTCTGATTACCTCTAAAATGGGTTGGCTTTGTGATGTGCTGGTATAAAAATGAGTCTCTCACAGACTCCATGAACAAGGATGAAGGGTGATTCTCATCCCTTGGATAGGATTCATGTGCCCAGTCTATTTCTGGATGGTTAAAGTCACCAACGATTAACGTATGTGACCTGCTCGAGGGTTGCTTTTGTTTTAGAGTGAACTAATCTCGACACACATAAAACACATTCATGCATTATTCAAACCCCACATTTAATTACAAAGGCGGTTGAGAAAATTTATACACATCATAAGCATTCGATTCATCAGGGGCAGGAAATTTCGAAATAAGAGTTAAAAATTCCCCGTTGTTATTGGAACTATTCATACAAGACTAGACTTAGACTAATGACTAATGCGTCCTATAAATTTTGATCCGAACTCTGTCGCTTAAATTTCAGGCAGATTATAGAAGATAAAGGAATAACTTTCATAAATCCCCATTGTTAAATTTGGTGATTTACTTTGAGATATTCCGTGCCTGATACGATTATGGAAGGTTGAGATGGATATATGCATCTGAAATACGGTTATCAGTCATATGTCCTAATTTTATTTTTAAAATCGAGCGACGTATGGTTCCCAATGTTTAAAAAAAAAAAAAAAGTTCATCGCTGCTGCTAAAACTCTTGTGATCTTGATTTCCAAGAGAAAATTAACCATGAACTTCTTATAAATTCTGGTATTGGCTATGCAAAATTAGTATCATGTAAGTGCCAAGATATCGTCAGTACTCTTTAGAACACATAAATATTATTAAGGAATATATTTAGCTTCACAGTCAGCCCTATTCGCTAATATTCTTGCAAACTACCAACTGCTATAATACATTTAGTTTTATTTACAAAAACTGACGAGAATCTAAATAGAAATCAGGACTCGCTTGTTCTATTCCAAGCAAGAATTAAATAATAAAGCATTTGCTGAAGAACTACAACGAAACTGATAAGGAACTTAACGAGTGAAAATAATGAATGCTTGTACAATAATATACGTGAAGTAGAACATTTATGAATGTATAGATTGTATTATAATAGTGGTAATAATAAAAAATAATGATAATAATAACAATAACAATAATAATAATAATAATAATAATAGTAATAACAATTATAATAATAATAATAATATAATAATATTATTATTAATAATAATAATAATAAGAATGATAATATAATAATAATAATAATAATAATTATAAATGTCTGCCATACCCATCCGATTTTCAGCAACTTTGAGCGAGAAGCTCTCGAGGAGGTACGGCAGCGACCTGCCCCTGACGTTCACGGAGAACACGCGCACGGCGTAGTCAGGGTCCGGGTCCAGAGGCCGGATGATGAAATCCGGACTCTCGGATGAGATGTTGGCTACCATTCGTCCGGAAACTGGTTCCTCCACCTGCATGCAATTAAGAATTCTGAATGAATGATTTAAAATTGAAGATCAATAAAGTTTTCATGATTTACTGTCCTGAATAAATAGCGAGACAAAGCAAGTAAAGGAAAAAGTTGAATAAGACTAATTGCCGCTTGACACAGTTCAGGCACGACAGAGAACCAAAGAAGTTGAGGAATTAATGTGTTTTGAAATTACCCTGTCCTCGGACAAGGCTTTTAAGATTTTTCCCCGGTAAATTATAGTCTGGTAAGGCCATGTGACGTCCCGAAATTGGGACAGTGTGAAAGGTAGAAGCCCGGGTGTGCCGGATCTGCCACTAAAAGAAGTCTGGCTGACTTCAGAGACTCGAGCGCGTGTCTCTGATCTGGAGACGAGCTCAGTCGCACCTGACCTGCCGAGTGCGGTATTTCAATTCACACTCGGCGGGAGAAAAATTCTCGAGTTAGGCAAGCAATTTCTCTTAAAAATTGTGGGGATGGGAAAACCTGAAGAGGTTTGCACAGACTTCCGAATAAGTTGTTGCGGCCTACGTTGAAAATTAAAACCAAAGGTATGTATAAATATTAGCTGTCTTTAGTGGAGGAGCGTACATTGCATAGCAACTGCAATCTATGAAGTTTGTTTAATACAATAATTTCTTTAAAAAAATAATTCAGAAGGAATTAATCTGCATAAAATTACGAATTAGAAAACGGAATAAATTAGTTTGAACCGAAGTTAAATTACGACATTGCTAAAACTAAAATTCCATTCGCTATCCTTAGATCCTGTGTCAATTTGCCCGGAGTCAATCTTGAGCGGAGAGCCTCTGCTTTTTTGCAGGAAACCCTCGCGTAAATTTAGAGCTCAGCTGGATTTTATCTCAAAAAATAATTTAGCCATTAAATCCAAAGTTTATTTTTTAATAGTATTAATATTTATTATTTCTCGCGTCTTTATATATTTATATATATATCATACTCCCGTAATGAGTTCCTATAAAATATGTGAATGTTATTAAATTCATATCCCAAAATATAATATTTCAATTTCAGTTCAATTATATGCTCTCAAGTTTTTTCTGAAACTTTAATGAACTTGAGCTCACCGAGCATGATTTTTGATTACACCCACATTCCTTAACACGAAACCATCTACAATTTCATATTTATATTAAATTGTAAGATTACGCTGATTACCTGACTTCCGAGCTTTGGTACTTGAATCCTATTCAACTTTTTAACTGAATGACTTTATTTGAATTCTATCTATACAAACGCTGTATTCTACCCACTTTTAAAATATTAAAGTTGATTATCAATTTAATGCCCTCCATGGCCGAATGCTCTTCTTATATTGATAAACTAATACATTCTAGTTTAAATTAGCCGACATTTGCAAAGTACCTTCAACTCTGTTAGGTTCGATGTTGTTATTTACTTAGGCACAACGTATTTCACGCCTCTGTCAGTAATACTATCTAATAATTCAATAATTATATCACGATTGTCATTTGAATTTCTTATAAGTTTGTGTAGGCGGTATGCATGTTTTTTTCCCGTATCTTGGATGCAGTTCTTCAAGTTCCTGGACGCCGCGCAGGCAATTACCCAAAGACCAGATAGGAAATTACGTGGCACGAGGACGGCTGGCGGTACGACGTGAATTTCAATTAATTTCTTCGTACCTGAGTTAGAGGAAGCCTCTACATTCTTCAGTATATTGAATGGGGCTCATTGTCCAATAGAGAAACACTTTCTTCACTGACCCGTTCTTTTGCCTGGCCAGAATGGGCTTGGATGATCCATACAAGGGTAGTAAGTGCATCGCAATGCGGACAAAGTCTCACTAGTTACCTTGAGTGTATGTGTGGGGGGAGGAAGCTTATCCAGTGGGACAACAAACTATATGATTAAAGGGTAAGTATTGCCACACTCACCACCGCCACACTCACCACCGCCACACTCACCATCGCCACACTCTCCACCGCCACCACACCACCGCCACACTCACCACCGCCACCACACCACCGCCACACTCACCACCGCCATGTAGTATCTGCCGGCGCTGGAGGTGGCGGGCCGGCAGGTCACGTGGAGGCTCGACGGCGTGCGGTTGTGCACACTGCAGCGCTCCACGCTCGCTGGCGAGTCTGGCGACAGTATGGCAACACTGGGGTACGGCAACACTGATGTATAGCAATACCAGTGTATGGCAACACTGCTGTATAGCAACGCTGTGTTGGGTGTACAGTTAATACAGGGTCATCAATATTTAGCATTACATCGTTTTTTTCAAAATCAATACACTCGCAAAACAGTCAAATGTGTCGTATGGAACCATGTCGACTGTTCTCCGGAAGGACCTAAAGTTGTCCCCATTCAAGCATGTCAAAAAACACCAACTGTCTGCTCAAGTTGTTGACGAACGCCTCCAAAGATCCAAGATTCTTCTTTCCCGCATTCATGATGGCACGCTGCCAAACCTCGTTTTCAGTGATGAGAAGATATTCAATGTTGAACACCACTTCAATTCCCAAAATAATCGAATTTGGTCGAAGAATGGGACGAAGAATCCCGTGTGGTGACTAGGAAGCAATGCCCGACCTCAGTGATATTCTGGGCAGCCGTAACAGAGTCCTCAAGGAGTCCCCTCTTTTTTGTCGACAAAGGGGTGAAATTGAATCAGATGAACTATCGAGATGCCATCCTTGTTGCTGCATTGTTGCCCTGGGCACGGAAGCACTTCATAAAACGCCCCTGGTCGTTCCAGCAGGACTCTGCACCATCCCATGGGGCCAAATCGACTCAGGAGTGGCTGTCCGAGAATGTTCCCCACTTCATTACCAAAGATGAATGGCCCCCATCGTCACCCGATCTGAATCCTCTGGATTTGGGGATCTGGTCATATCTTGAGAGCAAGGTCTCGACCGTTCACCATAGGAGTGTGGAAGCCCTAGAGGTCAAACTGCTGAAGGAGTGGGCCAAAATCCCGCAGAGTGTCATTCGTGACTCGTGTAAGGCTTTCTCTAAGCGTCTACAACTCGTTATTGATGCAGATGGTGGACATATTGAATGAAATTGTGGGAATTGTATCTCTGAAACTCTGCTTACATAAATACATTTTCAAACATTCATAATTGTATTTCAATTCATAGTTCTAACCACTCAAAGTTGTAACGCTAAATATTGATGACCTTGTACTTTGACAACTTGGCTGCAGTGCTAAAATTTTAGGAAACGCGCATAACATTAGAAATTTGTTGCAGAACAAAATTGCATGAAAATACGTATCCTCTTGTTTTTGTTCAATTATTGCTATTTGGTCATTTTGAAAGTTTAGCGTTCCCATATCATCGCGCGAACGATCATATAACGGCATTCTCGTGTACTCGTACATGATATTTAAAAATACCTTGCAAGATATCTTTTCATATTACAATAAACCTTACAAGATAGTAGCTGAATAACCCCGCATAGAACTATTATATGCCCATCAAAGCTTGCCCCTATCCCCCGCAACTCGACGGCTTTTATGTCTTGAACACAACGCGTTTACGTCGCTACAAAAAAATCTTTACCTATTCTCCCACCGCGGCCAGAATCCCTGATGACAGACTGGACCATAAAAAGAATCCTGCATGTTAGGCTCGCGGAAGGCAGGATTCGCCATGTCCTCCTAATTAGAACTTTTTTCTCGGCACGAACTTGCACAATACCAACAAAAAATCGTAATCACAAGATGACACACGAGCTTGGTGGATGGAGGACATTTTTGAGGGTAGTTAGTGAATGGTGAGTCGGGAAATATCCCCCCAAAAACTTATTTCTTCCGCAACTGTCGTCATACGACGTGATTTGCGAAACAAGATTGATCCTCGCCTAGAATGAATAATTCATATCCGTTGCGTGAACTAAATAATGCTTACCGTTGACATTTTTATTTGTTACCGTTGGCATTTTTATTTGTTTCACTTCACGCTGGTTCAATTCAGGAATGTGATATTGAAAAAAAATTACTGAAGCTCATCACTGAAAATACATAATTGCTAAGTTCACAGCAATTTTTAAAGAAAACTCATTAATTCTGTCATTAATTCATTGATATAGAAAACTTTATGTTGACGGGACATTTACATCAGAATAAATATATTCTGCTTAAAAACTGAAATTTAGACCGGAAATTTCTGATTAAGCAAGACAAATGGATTTTTAACAGCACCTCATGTACAGACTGCTTACAGCTGTAACACATGCAGTGACTACCAAGCTATTCAACAGGCAACGAGACGCCCAATTACTCAATAAATAAGATTATACGCTTGATAATACGATCATGCGAGCGCCATCAGTGCTATAAAATAGCTGTAATAGCTCTATAAATAAAGACCACCGGGCTTGTATAAACTGGAAGCATTAAAGCTCGGATCAAAGCGACCGTGTGAGCTGCGGATGAAAGGAGGCCGCTTCTGCAGCTGTGAGACGCTGCACGCGATGACAATAGTGTTATTTAAATGAAACTGAGTGAGAATTATCTCAGTAACACTTGAATTTCCGAATACCTTTGAATACCTTTGAAATTCATCTATTCAGTAATACTCATGATAATTCAGGCAGAGTGTCTAGGAGGATACTCTTGCCATTTCCGCATGATATTTTCGCCACTTTCAAGCCTAGCATATGGAGATCACTAATAATAATACTGGTCATCGAAAATTGAAAGTTTTATCCTATGCTGCAAATTTTCATACCAAAAAATATCATGAATTGGTTAACGTATTTTTTTTGGGAAGTCTATTTGAACGGTAGAAAATTTACGTTTACCTGGTTTCAAATGGCATTTTGAGATACTTCATTTTCAAATAATGAAAAAATAAAGAAACACAAGGCAAACTCGGTAAAAGTTTACTAGGGATAAATCTTGCGTTTCCAGGAATTTCTTCGCCTGAAATATCAAGTTATTGAGAGTCTTTTCTACCGACGAATAATAGCGAAATTTCATTTATTTACGCTGGGCTTATTTCTTTAGTCCCAAGGTAATGAGCGTAACCGGAGACCGGATTCTTCAGTAGAAAAAAAATGCAGAGTGACCGGATTATCAGAATGATAGAACCCCACACATTTTCAATCAGCAGACAGAGAATGATTCATTTTATGTTTTTTCCCTAGTTAGCATCAGTAAATTTGAATAGATATGGATAATTTACTCAAATAATGCATAATTTCCGATAAATAAATAGTTTAATATTTCCGCTCGATTTTTAGATGAAATTCGGCAACGAAACCAATAACTTAGAAATTTCGGAACAAAATGTCCGTATGACATCAATATACAGCATAACAAAATCAAATAATCATGTTTAATATCTCAGGTTATTTTCTTTTAGTTCCCTAAATTTTTCCTGCTAAATCACATAACAATCTTTTAACTAATGCAAAAAGATCACCCTTCTTTTCATCCAATAAAAGCTGACTCCATTGCAGCATTCCAAAAACACCGCATCTCCTATACGGAATTTTGACGTTTGTTTACTTGGCGAATTAAGCGCAAAATGCTGTACAAAACGATAGCGTTTGCTCGATGGAACAAAAAATACTTATGGAAGAACTCCCGTGCCATTTGCATGCTCACTCAATTTTAGAATTCGCCAACAATTTCCCACTAAAAATTTTCAACAGCGCATCAGCAAAAATTTAATTGCGTCTAGCTGGACCATTTAGTGTTTCCAGAATTATATTATCCAAATGCAAAGTGTTTCCAAATATTTCAGGATGTAATCGAATATTTCTGAAATCTGTTAGCAGGAAATTTAATTCAAACAGCATCCACTAATAAATTTCTATCTAAAAACTTCCTTAATAGTTTGAAAATCTCTCATTTAGTCATTTAAACTCATGCTTCTTCGGCATAAATAACTAGCAAGAATTTTACATAAAAAATGATTTCGCTGCATGCTTGGTTTTATTAGTAAATATCAAGTATCAAGTAAATATCAAATATCACTCAACAGAACATTTCATTAGTATATACATTAATTGACAGAGAAATAATTTAAGAATATGGAAGGCGCAATGGCTTCCAAATGCCCTTTATTTACCGAGTTTCTTACTTATTAGATGTTTTTAACTCAAATTCACAACGAGAAGGAATCGTAGAACATATTTATTATCGATATAAATCATTTTTAACCACAATTTAGATACGGTACAACATTAGATCAAACGAATATCATTGTAAAGAAAACAATGAATGAAGCATAATGCAGTGCATCCATTAACACAATGCATGTAAACTTTACAAGTACCTCAATGTTTTAATCTGTAACTAGACCACAATCACGAATTATTCATTTAATTTCGAAATCTTCAACTGAGCACGCAAGGAAAGTCGATCAGAACTCACGCAGCAGCCGCGCATTATCGAAGCATTGCATGGAACGCGAATGCCATCTCACGCAGCCGCGCATTATCGAAGCATTGCATGGAACGCGAATGCCATCTCACGCAGCAGCGCATTATCGAAGCATTTCATGGAACGCGAATGCCATCTCACGCA